CCTTCTATGTGCAAGTGTCAAAAGCCTTACTGAAATCTAGGTAAGCAATGTCTACTGCACCACCCTGATCTATCATTTTAGTTACCCAATCAAAAAAATCAATAAGATTAGTTTGGCATGATCTCCCTGAAGTAAACCCATGTTGTCCCTGATCTTGAAATGCAGGTGTTTTTAGATTACTCTACTTTGTGAATCTGTGTGAATATCAGGGATGTATACAATGTTCACACTTTAACAGATTTAAAGAAACTTAAAAAAAAATGTTCCCTTTATAGTACTATGTTAACCTTTCTTTGATGGATCTTTTCTAAGCCCCAGGGGTTACTAAACTTCATCATAATTTGATGTTCAGACAGGATGGATGCCTACATTACTGATGCCTCAATTAATGTAATTTGTAGTTGCTGCTGCATTTTCCACCCTAAGTTTATAGTCGAGTCAATACGTTTTCCCAGTTTTTTGTGGTAAAATTAGGTGCCTCGGCTTATATTCGGGTCGGCTTATACTAGAGTATATACGTTATATATCGTGGAGGCAGAGTTCAAGGACATGATGGCTATCTTGTTACTCTAGTTCATTCAAATGTACAAGGTCACGAAGGAGCACAGGGGGCAAAGCTGTAGCTACTTGAATGTGGCCCCACACCAATTACAGGTATGAATAGGATCAAACCTGTGATTAGGGAGTATGAATATTTTCTCTGCGAGGAAGGGTTAAATAAAAAGACTGAGTAATACAATTGGAAACAGAGGAATATGGGAATTAGGCAATATGGACAAATAAAATAGATAACAGTTTATGTAAAAATATGTAATTACTGAGAGTATTAAATTGTGCTACTGTAAAACATAAGCATATCTAAAATGCCATATTTTATATAAGCTTTTGTATGAAAGGTACCATATTTCATGTTTATTCTGAATTCCCAGACACCTGGTGTTTATACAGATCATTGAGTGACTTTGACATGCAATAATAATTATGTAAAGCAGTCGCAAATGAAAACTAAAGAAATATATTGGATATATAATGTATCTTTACAAATATATAAAATAAATGTTTTTGATTTTTTTTTTTAACATAGTGAGACAATTTCTTACACTAGTGTCATGTGTGTGCTTACTTGTATACAATTCCACTATTATTGTTTTTCTGTTTTCATGAGAGAGAGCGAGAGAGAGAGACAGTGTGTGTGTGTTTTGTTTTGTTGTTTGTTTGTTTGTTTGTTTTTTGACCGGGCTGTCACTCATAGTCTAGTAAAATTAAAGATTGTGATTGCTTTACAATAGTAATCAATAGACTTGTGAGCAAATCATTTTCACCTGCGACAAACTGATATAGGCTGAAGACACTTCCCTAGCTGATAGGCCTGTCCAACAATGCAATCTGACCAGATTTATAGTAAGTTTAGAAATGTTTACTACCTCCTTTCTAAAGTTTGTCTTGCTTTATTTTCGTTTGCATATTATATTTGTTTAATATTGTTTATTAGCTGGTTTAAAAAATTAATTGTCAAGTAATCCATGTCTAGGTTGCGATATCCATTCTGTTTTCCTGGACACCCCTGGCATAAATACCGCGGTCGCAGGGGTCGCAGCTGCGACCAGGCCCAGCCCACCAGGGGGCCCGGCCGCCCTGCGACCAGGTATGTACGCCGGTTTGCTAGCCTCTTCTCCTGGGGGGCCCAGGAGCTAGCCACCTCAGGGCCCCCCGAGGCTGGCAGTGGCGTTACATGGCTAGCGCGCGTGGGAGCATTCTCCCCTGAGCCCTCTCTGCCCAGCTCCCTCGCGCGCACCGCACTGATGCCAGAGCCGGAACATGACGTCATTCCGGCTCCGGCATCAGTAAGCGGCGCGCAAACAGGAGGATCAGTGCACCCTCGCTGCCTGCAGGACCGGCAGCCCAGCAGCCCCACTGGACCCCAGGGAATTCCCTCAGCACTCCCAAAGGTAGGGATGCTGGGGGATTCAATTTAAAAATAATAATAATAATTAGTGTGTGTGTATATGTGTGTGTGTTAATGTTTGTGTGTCAGTGTGTGTGTGTGTGTTACTGTGTGTGTTACTGTGTGTGTGTGTGTCTGTTACTAATTGTGTTAGTTGGGTGTTTGTGTGTGTCTGTGTTACTGTGTGTGTTACTGTGTGTGTGTGTGTCTGTTACTAATTGTGTTAGTTGGGTGTTTGTGTGTGTCTGTTATTGAGTGTGTGTCAGTGAGTGTGTTAGTTTGTGTGTGTGTGTTACTGTGTGTGTTAGTTGTGTTTTAGTTTGTGTGTGTTTGTTATTGAGTGTGTGTCTGCTAGTGGGGGTCAGTGTGTGTGTGTTAGTGTGTGTGTCAGTGAGCGTGTTACTGTGTGTGTCTGTTACTGAGCGTGTTAGTTTGTGTGTGTCTCTTAGTGTGTGTCTGTTAGTGAGTCTGTTTGGTGTCTGTTAGTGAGTGTGTTTGTCAGTGAGAGTGTATGTTTTGTAAGTGAGTGTGTATGTCTGTCAGTGAGTGTGTATGTATGTCTGTCACTGAGTGTGTGTCTGTTAGTAAATGTGTGTGTCTGTTAGCTAGTGTGTATGCGTCTGTTCGTGAGAGTGTGTGGTTAAAACTCCTTCAGCACTTACCTTTCTCCAGCGCCGGGCTCCCATGGCGCTGGGGATCTCTCCGCCCCAATCTGCCTCTAAGCTCCAAATGCGCATGCGCGGCAAGAGCCGCACGCGCATTCAAACCACCCTTAGGAAAGCATTACTCAATGCTTTCCTATGGACGTCCAGCGTCTTCTCACTGTGATTTTCACAGTGAGAATCGTGGAAGCGCCTCTAGCGGCTGTCAGTGAGACAGCTACTAGAGGCTGGATTAACCCTCAATGAAACATAGCAGTTTCTCTGAAATTGTTATGTTTTCAGCTGCAGGGTTAAAACTAGAGGGACCTGGCACCCAGACCACTTCATTGAGCTGAAGTGATCTGAGTGCCTATAGTGGTCCGTCCTTTAAGTGTATGTATCTGCATGCAGTGGTGCACATACCACGGTCACAGCCCTGCCACCATTTGTTGCGGCCCCGGCCCGTGCAGAGTAAGCGCGGGGGGGGGCCCACAGATCAATTTTCGCACCAGGGCCCCATGGATCATGTGGTGTATCCTGGTTTTGTGCTGCCCTAGGCAGGACAAAACTCAGACGCCTCCCCCCCTTCACCCTAGCCCCTCCCCGCCACCTCACCCCACCCTTCACCCCTGCCAGGCCTTCTAAATACACACACACATTCACTGACAGATATGCATACACTAGCTAACAGACACACACTCACTCACTAACACACATACTAACAGACACACACACAGACACACACACACAGACACACTAACAGACACACACACACACTGACACACACTCACACTAACAGACACACTCACACTGACACACACACGCTAACAGACACCCACACTAACACACTCACACACACTTACAGACACACATACTAACAGACACACACAGACACACACTCACACTAACAGACATACACACTCTAACAGACACACATTCACACTAACATACACACACACTAACAGACACACACAGGGACACACTAACAGACAGACACACACAGGGACACACACACACACTCACACTAACATATACACACACACTAACAGACATATACACACAGACACACTAACAAACACACACTAACATACACACACACACTTTTTCTTTTAAAAATTCAACCCCTCCTTACCTTTGGGAATGCTGGGGGGGGGGGTTCTCCTTTTCCCTGGGGGTCCAGTGGCTGCTGGTCGGTCGGTCAGGCGGCACTGGCGAGAGAGCACTACCCCTAAGCTGTCTGCTCAGCTCCCCCGTGCGCCGCCTGCAGAGTGATACCGGGAGCCGGAATATGACGTCATCACTCTGCGGCGTGCGAGGGAGCCGAGCAGACAGCTTAGGGGAAGTGCTCCCTCGCCAGTGCCGCCCGACTGCCTGCCTGAATTGTCAGTTAGCCGCAAGGCTAACAAGACATTTGCCCTGGGCATTTGGGGGCGGCATTTTTTGTCGCCCCCTGGAAAATGCCGCCCAAGGCAAATGCCTTGTTTGCCTCGCAGCTAAAAGGTCCGTGCCCTGCTGGACACACATAATTTCATCATGTTGATTGGAAACATCTGATTGGCAACATATGCCCTGTATTGTGAATAATGTCAATACTGCATGATTCCTGATTGATTTATCACCTAGTTTACTATCTGCACCATTTGACTAATACATACTGCAGGGCAGTCTTAGGACTTACATCCCAGGCCCTCTGCAGCCATTTGCCAATTGCTGAAGTGAAGCCTTTCAGATGTTGGTTAGTCCACCACTATTAGGTTAGTCCAGCACTCTTAGCCATTGGCTTTCAAAGGATGAGAAAATGTGTGTTACTTTAAATTTTCAACAACAGAAATATAGTGAGATATGTTATTTTCCCTTGTTATTTTTTTCTCTTACATGTATATCTGGAGAGAAAATGTAAAGAAACTCTCCTGCAAATGGTATAATTTATTGCGGTTTGCTTATTTGTACAAAACAGCACTCCACTTTTTTCACATTTATATGTTTAATCTGTGTGTACCACTTTTTTGGCGTTGGGTGAAATAGGAAAATGTGCGACAGCTAATGTATATAAATAATTCACTATTACATAAGTTCAATAAGTAGTACGTTTAAAATTAAAAAGCGCCAGTCAATGTTGTCTTCAGCCTTTTTTTTTTTAAAACTGATATCTTTCATTACCTTCCTGAATGTATTTCATCTCTGCTGTTTGTTTGTTTGTATTCTGCAATGTCCTTCTTCACAACTGTTGCCCAAAGTTGCTCTGAACATTCAAGATGCAGTTTAATTAATTATTTATGAGGAAGCAAAATGATGACCACCAGAAACTGTTGATAACGAGACAAAAAATATTAATAGTGGAATCAATTGCCCCACTAAAAGGCCGCCAAGTCTGTGTTATTCTCCACATAATACATACATTAAACTTGAATACCATTTCAACAAAGCAAATAAATGTAAATCCTTTGTTTCTGGAGCATATATAAACTTTGGTGTTATCAGTGGCGCTAAATCACACTTATTATTCTGTCTTCCTTCCCAAACCTATTAAAAATCTACTTCCAAACACTCACCTTACACCACTCGATCCACTCCTATGAGTTCAAGTTTATTTGGGAGGTCTGACATCACCTTTTGGGGTGCAGTGGCTGACAGTGCAGCTATGAAGCACAGAGGATAAATGGTACAAACATACATTTCTTAATACATAGCATTGGGAAATAAATATACAAGAAGCAAATTAAAACCGATTTGGCTTAGTAAAAAGATCAGTCAAATAAGAAAAGATAATAAAGGCCCTTCAAAAAATGTAAATTAAAGGTGTCGATGGCATCCTATAACAAATATAAGCATGCCAATAGGGCTTGCAAAATGACAATTAGAAGGGCTAAACTTGAAAATGACAAGCGGGGGAGCAAGACCCACCACAAAAGGTTATTTAAGTATATTAATGCTAACAAGGTTAATAGTGAAAGTGTTGGTCCATTGGAATCTGAGATGGGTGCGTTAATCAAGGGGGATCAGGACAAGGCAGACATTCTAAATATTTTTTGGCTGTAGATTTGCAAATCCCTGTTAAAAACACCTTACAGGAAACAGGATAAAGTGCCACAGCTATTAAAGGGACACTCTACTGCCAAAATACAACATTTTAAAAATCACAGTTTAGTAGATAAACCCCAAATAAAAACATTGCAATCCTTTAACTATGCATTTTTTTCCATAGGTGATACATATAAAAACAGCTTGCAGAATCTGCAGATCTCTTGTTGTCGCCTTTGCAAGCCCTCCCTTATTAAACCCTGTCCAGATTTTTTTCCAATCACAGACTTACCAGTGCAGCTCAATGAGAAGGATTTGTGAGGCAGGTGCTCTGAGCAATTGCTGCCTTTTGCATGAGCTAACCAAACCAGGAAGTAACAGGACCACTCGTCTGTTTGAAAGCCAGGGGGGTGCAACCAAGTTAATTTAGAAAAGTGTAAATTTCTGCTAAAATCTGTATTTTTTTGTAAAATAAAAAAGAGGACACACCCTTCACACATAAAGCATTACTGCAAGCTAAAGTGCTTTATAAGTCAGGAGTATCCTTTTAAATACATTTTAGTAGACAAAGCCCCAGAGCCCCAGAGATGGTATTCACCCTGGTGTGCTTAGTGTAGAAATATCCATATCAGTGCTGATTTTTCAGGATTTTTTTTGTTCAGGAATTGTACCAGATGATTGGAAAAAGCAGATGCGGTGCCAATTTTTTAAAAAAGGGTTCAAAATCTCAATCCGGAAACTACAGTCCTGTGAGCTTACCATCTGTGGTGGTCCCCCCTCGGCAAATTAGGACCCCGCCGGCCATGTGATCGCTCTGAAAGGTAGGCGTCCATAGTGCTGCCTGAACTGACAGGTAGTCCCCCTACTTGTGAAAAAGTAAAAAAAATTTTAATAAAGGAAAAAAATATTATAAATGTATATAATATGTATATAATTAATACAAAGTTAAACACAAATCTGCACACCAGTCAAGCCATACGACTTACTGTTCCTACAGAAATCACTAATTTGCAGTGATGTTACTACCGCAAAGGATTCTGGATGCGCATATGCAAATTAGTTTAACAAAGAATCACATTTTTGGCTCATTCCATTTTAAACATGGATTCCTTTGAGTCTGTGTTTGCTGTATACAACAGCTGTGAAACACAACTTAGGAAAATATGCAAAGCCAGTGTACCACTCATGGACAGCTGTTTCATTGTTAATGCAAATCATCAGCATGAGGTTCGTTATTGGTTGTAACTGGTTGGTTACTGCGGTAGTAACATCACTGCAGATTCGTTGCAGAGAAACACTGCAGATAAAGGAAAAGCAAGTCTTATGGCTTGACTGGTGTGCAGATTTTTGTTTAACATTGTATTAACTATCCACAGACTTCAGGTGGAAAGGGTTTTCAGTCACAATTTTTTCCCCACCATAATCTTTTTTGTTTTTGCTTATATATATATATATCATCATACTAAGTGTATTTTCTTATTAATATATACATATATTAATATAAAAATACACTTAGAGTAAAATTACACACCTTGGTCTCCCCCGGGGCCGCGCGCGAAGGAGCTGAGCAGAGAGCTCAGGGGAAAGTGCTCCCTCGCTGAAAACTGCACATCCATCCGCCTCCCTGCCCAGCAGCTCCACTGGGCCACAGGTGAAAAATCCACCCAGCTATCCTAAACGTAAGCAAGCTGGGAGGATTTAAATTAAAAAAATAATAATTATTATTATTGTGAGTGTGGGGAAATGTGAGTGAGTGTGTGTCAATGAATGTGAGTGAGTGTGTGTCAGTGAATGTGAGTGAGTGTGTGTGTCAGTGAATTTGAGTGAGTGAGTGAGTGAGTGAGTGTGTGTGTTTCAGTGAATGTGTGTGTTAGTTTATACTAAGTGACCCATAGGTTGAGGAGGCGGTGACCGTGGTGGTGTAGGTGGAAGCAGCGGTGGAGGAGGTAGTCAACACTGTTTTATATATATATATATATATTATTTTTTTTTTATTATTATTTTTTTTAATTAGGTCCTGATGCATGGAGAAATGCTCAACTCCTGATGCATGGAGAAAAGGCCTTCACAAGCCTCTGCTGTTGTGTACATAGTTTATACTAAGTGACCCATAGGTTGAGGAGGCGATGACCGTGGCAGTGTAGGTGGAAGCAGCGGTGGAGGAGGAGGATGAGGTAGCCAACACTGTTTTTTATGTTTGTTTTTTAATTGTGGTAGCCCACAAAATATTAGGACATATAGAATACATTTGCAGCCTGCGGTGCATTTCTTGCAGTCCTGATGCATGGAGAAATGCTCAACTCCTGATGTATGGAGAAAAGGCCTTCACAAGCCTCTGCTAGTTTGTGTACATAGGTTGAGGAGGTGGTGACCGTGGCGGTGTAGGTGGAAGCAGCGGTGGAGGAGGAGGATGAGGTAGCCAACACTGTTTTTTATATATATAAATATTTTAATTGGGGTAGCCCCCAAAATATTGGGACATATAAAAAAGAAAACTCTGTTCCACAGAGTAGCTGTTGACATTATAGTTGTGCAGGCACTTTGTTGACTCTAGAGAACCTCGGGCCAATCACACATCCCCATGACGGCGACTTTGCATTTAGATGTCATCCATATCAACTTTCGATGCCAGTTTCTGCGCCTACCATGGTGACCACGGGTAATGGGGAATCAGAGTTCCATTCCGTACAGGGACCCTGAGAAATGGCTACCACATGCAAGGAAGGCAGCAGGCACGCAAATGACCCACTCCCGACGCGGGAAGGTAGTGACGACAAATAACAATACAGAACTCTTTAGAGGCCCTGTAATTGTAATGAGTCCACTTGAAATCCTTTAACTCTTATCAATTGGAGGGAAGTCTGGTGCAGAGCCACTGACGCGTGCGTGCTGCAGCTGAAACTCCACTATCGCCTACAGCTGATCGCACAGTCTCATGAGGCAGAAAGCGGGAAGGCCGAAGTTATGCTGCAGCGCAGACAGGCGAGCAACAGCAGGGTGAGAACGCCAAAAGCGTGCACAGCCGCTACAGTGAATGTCAACTGTTCCAAGTTGCGGATCAGTCTGGTGAAGGCTTCTGGTATCCAGTACTCTTTTTACTGAGGCTGCATCAGGGTCCTGGTATGTGACCGCACAAACGCTGGTGCTCAACACCAGGGCGCGTGCGGTTACCCTGCACCAGACCCTGCTAATCCATTCCACACTGTGACTTCTAACTTCAACATCAGGCATACTGGGTCCCGGTCGTCCGACCGCCGCCCAGACAGTGTCTGGGTCCTGGTCACGGTACTGCCCACCTGACTGTGAAACTCTGAATGGATCATTAAATCTGGTACTCAACTCTATTATGGATCCTTTGATCGCTACATGTATTATTTGGATAACCGGTAATTCTCGAGCTAATACATGCCGACAGGGCGCTAGGGGACGGCCGCTTCGCTTTTGCACCCTGCTACCTCTTATGCTGTGCTGGTGCCTCTGTGCGACCAGCGCCTCTTCCTCCAAACTGCACACGTCACTCGCATGACCTTGATTCCATGTGGGGTCTAGGACCTCATCATCCTCCACATCATCTTCCTCAACCCTGCCCTCCTTGCCGGTATGCACACTGCAGAAAGCCACAGCTGTTGGCACCTGTGTTTTTCCAGCATGTAAAGTCTGCAAAGGACAAATGGAAATTGTTTTACAATTGTATCCAGGCAATAGTTTTCCCTATATACTGACCTCTCAGTTTGACTTGTGAGGGTGTTGCCCCAGAATTAAACTATTGTTGAAGTACCTCTTAGCTATTGATAACTGGTTTAAATATAGCAGCTTGTTATCTGGTAGTTTCTAGTGTAGAAAATATCAATCTGTTTTCTATCACTTAGATCTGTTTAACAAGTGTTGTAGGTGTGAAACAATATTACAAGTGACCGATGTGGTAAATTCGAATCAAAGTTCCATTTGTAAAAAAAATTCTCGTCCATCTTCTGTGTGTTATTGCATTTTTAAGATGTAGACTCATTGTATCACACTAGCCAGGAACAGGTAGACTGTCTGGCATGTTGTTTTGGTGTTTGGTTTTTAACTTTGTAGTTGTGTCTTTACACAATATAGAAATGTATATTAATGCTTCTGTATATGAAGCGATCACAATAACACTTATTTTTCACTTTAAAAAAAAATAAAAAATCAGGCTACAAAAAAAACACTACATGAAGGTCCTGTTCACTAGAGTGTGTAGTCATGAATGTAACCAGTAAAACTTTGTTTTTACAGACACTGGTTGGCCCATACATATTTTAAAACTTGTTTAATTTTGTTGTAGCATAACTTGTAGATATGAAGAGCAGGCCCCAAAATGTACTATTTAGCAGATTATCACCCAGAAAATAAGAATGTTTACCACTGCGCTGTAAGCACACTATTATACGCTTCTATTTGACTCTCAGATATGAAGTGTACCCCACTAAAATACTATTTTGTAGTTTAGCACCCATAAATTTTTATGTTTTAAAATTGCAATGGGACAGCAGTATTTGACGCTTCTATTTGACTCTCACATATGAAGTGCACCCCACTGATGTACTTTTTAGCACCCAAAACATTTTAAGTTTTAAAACTACAATGTGACAGCAGTATTTGACGATTCTATTTGAATCTCAGATATGAAGTGATATGAAGTGCACCCTAATGTACTATCCCACTAATGTACTATTTAGCACCCAAAAAAATTGACTTTTTAAAACTCCGATGTAACCGCGGTATTTGAAGTTTCTATTTGACTCTCAGATATGAAGTGCACCCCACTAATGTACTAGTTTGCAGAATTCTTTCCTAAGCTATCCCTATCAGCGGCAGCATCTTCTCCCTACACTAATAAGACCTCATGTGCGTGCGGCGCTACGCAACTCCAGCTTATATATAGAGGCTGGGTTACATGCTGCACTGGCCAGTCACAGCCATGCCATTAGTAGGCATGGCTGTGATGGCTTCTAAGGGCACACGAGTCAAACGCTTGTTGATTGGCTGCCCTGCAGCCTTTGAAAACGCGCCATTAAACTGCCGAACACCGAACTCCAACCCGATCATACGGACAGTGATATGTCCGTGTTCGGGTCCGGGGTCCGGGGTTTTCATTTATGTGTCCCAGGGTCCAGAGAAAGTTTCTCAGGGCGCATGAATGTCCAGTTTTTTATACTAACAGCGGCCTCGCGGCTGCTCTGTAACGGAGTCTTACCTGATAGGGAGTCCAGCTCGCAGAGTTATATGCTCACCCTTGCAAAGTAGACACAGACCAGGGTGACCAGGTAAGACGCCACCTGGCCTGTGAGTCTGTGCACGGGGGCTTTCCAGGAAAAGTGCTCCAAGTCTCAGTACAACAGGGATAAGCAGAAGCGTGGTCAAGGTAAGCCAAAATCAGGGAAGCCAGAGGTCAGAGTAGTCCAGGAGGAAAGCCAAGGTCAGAAGCCGGAATTAGACAGTAATCACAGAGTAGACAGTAATCACAGAGCAGGTACAGAGTAACAGGAACCAAACAAGGGAACCAGAGTCAATGAACTGACACCCCTCCCAGGGTGATGCAGGCTATACAAGAATAAACAGGAATTATCCAAAGTCCTGAAATGGCTCAGAGGGAAGATAGCAGGATACGGTGTAGAACAACCGCAGTTCAAATCCCATATCGGGTGCTTCCGGAGCGACCATGTCTGAATGGATGTCACGGCGTGAACCGTGACAGTACCCCCCCCTGTCAAGAACACCCTCTGGGCGTGAACAGGCTCTTCCTGGAAATTGTACTCCTCATCTTCGGTATCAGTATCACTAAGATAGTCTTTATAATTAAGGTATCCTTTTACGACCCTGGATTTTATGGTACCAGTTTCGGATGCTATAGGGGAGGCATTTGCAGCTTTCAAAGCTTTTTCGAAGACTTCTAGATCCTGTTTGCACACAACTGTGCCATTTGAGGCATAGGTGCAGTCAGGTGGCAGAACTGTTTTGGCAAGGCAGGAAGTGGTGATGGTGCTTGCTTGAACAGAAGTGTCATCAGGAAGAGGTCCAACTGTTTCTGGAGCAGGAGGTGGAGATTCCACAGGGGTACTGGTAACATTAACTGTATTAGTTTGGGTACCCTTTTGTGTCACAGGACGGGGACAGGACTGGCAGTGTCCAGGCTGTCTTGCTGGGATGACAGGGTAAGTCCATATGGCACCAGACAGAAGGGATCTTGGCCTAGGTGGACGAGTCGGGCAGAGAGATATGAAATGCCCTCTTTTCCCACAGTATAGACATAGACCATGGGCTCTCCTGCGGTCTTTTTCTTTAAGGGGCAATCTAGTTCTGGTGAAGCCAATCTCCATGGGTTCCTCCATGTCGACTGGAGTTTCACTGCTAGCTCGAGTGTAAACAGGGTTACAAGGCGGGTCCCTGAAAGTGAGTTCATGCTGCAACAAAATGGGATTTTTGTATCCATAAAATAATTCCTCTTCTCTAGGCAACCGGGTTCTGCGAGGACCAGAAATAGGCTTGGAAGTTGCTTTTCTTGCTGTAAAACACTGAGAATCCATTGCGGACATAAACAACTCCCAGGAGTCCAAGACAGTACTTCTCTCCTGTAGCTTCTGGTGTGCCCATGCCTTAATCCGCCCGGTACATAGGTTAATAGCGGAGCGAACTTTGATAAAGTCGGTGGCGTAGGTTCTTGATTTCAGGGCAAATAGTAGCTCACAATCCGTCTTGAACATCGGAAAAGTAGAACGGGAACCGTCGAACCTGTCAGGCATAAAGACATACGGTTCTGGGCATACATGTTCCGGGACTGGAAGCGTTGCTCCTTTAAATGCCAATGAATGTCTCTGTAAATCTGTAACATTCTGGGACAGGTTGGAGACTTGCTCGGCCAGGGAGGTGAGTAATTTGTATAACTCTGCGGACTCCATAGGTCAGTTCATCTGTAACGGAGTCTTACCTGATAGGGAGTCCAGCTCGCAGAGTTATACGCTCACCCTTGCAAAGTAGACACAGACCAGGGTGACCAAGTAAGACGCCACCTGGCCTGTGAGTCTGTGCACGGGGGCTTTCCAGGAAAAGTGCTCCAAGTCTCAGTACAACAGGGATAAGCAGAAGCGTGGTCAAGGTAAGCCAAAATCAGGGAAGCCAGAGGTCAGAGTAGTCCAGGAGGAAAGCCAAGGTCAGAAGCCGGAATTAGACAGTAATCACTGGAACGCAGGTACAGAGTAACAGGAACCAAACAAGGGAACCAGAGTCAATGAACTGACACCCCTCCCAGGGTGATGCAGGCTATACAAGAATAAACAGGAGTTATCCAAAGTCCTGAAATGGCTCAGAGGGAAGATAGCAGGATACGGTGTAGAACAACCGCAGTTCAAATCCCCTATCGGGTGCTTCCGGAGCAACCACGTCTGGCAGACTGGATGTCACGGTGTGAACCGTGACATGCTCAAACTTGATTAGAGAACTGCTGGTTCCTAAAATGCTGGCACAAAATGGATGGCGGGTTCCCTGCCACATCCCTTCCTCCTGGCGGTGTGTTTCTGGCAATGGCCAATCCTTGTCTTGTTGCTATACCGATTGTGTCAATTACCAGTGGTGACGCCACGCCACAACATCACCCCTCTGTTTAGTCTCCCACCTGCAGTGCCCAGAAGGATCAGCAGAATGGAGCTGTAATTAAAAGCAGCAACAACGAGAGAGTAAGGTAAAGGAGTAGAAAGGTGAGAAAAAAAAGGGAGCAGAAAGGAGATAAAAGTAAAGGAATATATATCAA